GAGAAAGAAATGCTCGCAGTAGTTTGGGCCGTTGAGCACTTCCACCTTTACCTATATAGTGCTCAATTTACCATCATAACCGATCATCAGCCCCTCATTGGTATCTTTCGCAGTCATAAAGCCACCTCCGCGCGAATTGATCGCTGGAAGCTTCGTTTAATGCCTTACAACTATAATCTTGTCTACAAACCTGGTAAAGATGAGAAAAACCCAGCTGACTTCCTTAGCCGACACCCAAACTGCTCAGAGCCCCAACCGGAAAGCATTGCTGAAGAATACGTTAACTATGTATGTGCCAATGCCGTGCCCACCGCCATGACCCTTCAAGAAATCCAGCTTGAAACATCAGTTGATGACTCAATGCAAACGGTCATTCAAGCCATCGAAACCAACAATTGGTTGGATCCGTCCACGACAGAATACAAGAAAGTGAGTGACGAACTGTCAGTACATAAAGGAATTATACTTCGTGGACACCGAATCGTAATGCCCACCTCCTTAAGACGCCGGACAATCCATCTCGCACACATTGGTCATCAAGGAATCATTAAAACCAAACGCCTACTCCGCTCGAAAGTCTGGTTTCCTAACATCGACAAGATGGTCGAAGAAACCATTCAGAATTGCCTCCCCTGCCAGGCTGCTACTTCGCGCAACCACCCTCCACCTGAGCCACTCAAGATGACCCAGCTGCCATCCACACCTTGGAAAGAAGTTGCAATGGATTTCCTGGGCCCTTTTCCAACCGGCGAATACCTCCTAGTCGTAATCGATGCGTTTAGTCGGTTCCCCGAAGTTGAAGTACTCACCACGGTTTCCGCAAAAGCTGTCCTTCCAAAGTTGGATGCAATATTTTCACGACAAGGCCTTCCAGAAGTTCTGAAAAGCGACAATGGCCCACCATTCAACGGTGCCGAGTTTGAGTCATACGCCAAGCACTGTGGTTTGACTCACCGCAAGATCACGCCATACTGGCCTCAAGCAAATGGAGAGGCCGAGCGTTTTATGCTCACACTACAGAAATGTATTCGGGCTGCAATCATCGAGAAGAAAAACTGGAAGCAAGCGATGAACCAGTTTCTCCTCAACTACAGGGCAACCCCCCATTCCACTACTAACATATCCCCCTCCGAAAGCCTCAACAACAGGAAGGTAAAGACAATGTTACCGGAGATGCCCTCTAGTTCAAAACCAGAACAGACAGCAATGGCTGATTATGATGCTCGGAAGAAAGAACAAATGAAATCTTGCGCAGACAACCGTCGGGGTGCCAAAGAAAGTTGCATCAAACCAGGTGACACCGTCCTTCTGAAAATGCCGAAGGAAAACAAATTCAGTGCTCCATACAACCCTCAACCTTTTGTCGTAGAAAAGAAAAAGGGAACAATGGTCACTGCCAAGAACGATTCAAAGGTTGTCACACGAAACTCCTCGCAATTCAAGGTGATCTCAACCAAGTCAGCCAAACACGATGACAAGGAAGTTGAACCAAAGGTTCCAAGACCATCAAACCCCCAAGAACAAAAAACACTTCAACAAAGACCGAAACGGAACGTAAGACAGCCAGCAAGGTTCGCGGACTATGTAAACTATGAACCAATGTGAACCAAATGACAGTTCGGACAATATCACTGTCCACAGCATATTAGTCAAAGGAACAGTGACTCGGACACGTTAATGTTTATATTAATAGAGGCGCCTTGGCGCGCAGGTGGACCGCGTGCGGGGTCTGAGACTAAGACTTTTTGGCGCCAATAGATATAGTTTTATTAGTTAGTTTTGCATGTGCATATATACGAGAGGTTATCAATAAAAGTGTTTAACTACAACATTACAGCAATATATCAATACATTATGTTGCTTTGATCCTAAGAAAGCACGCAATATATCAATATATATTGATAAAGTTTATAAATAAAATAAATATTTATATATTGCGTGCTTTCTTAGGAAGAAAGCAACATAATATATTGATATATTGCGTCGTTCCTTTAAGAACGAAGCAACAACATATTATATAATATGTTGTTGCTTCGTTCTTAAAGGAACGACGCAATATATCAATATATTATGTTGCTTTCTTCCTAAGAAAGCACGCAATATATAAATATTTATTTTATTTATAAACTTTACAATCAACAAAACGATTGAAGGTACAGACAACAGGACTGAGGAGTCCCAAATCAAGTCCTACCTACACATTACATTGACATTGTAAAACAATAGAGACAGGTTACAACTTTAACAAAGTTACAATACAAAATTACAACACACGATCAATGCGTTCCAATCCATCTTTACACTTTCCAAAGTTAATATGGTTTGGAAAATGACCAAGTTAGAAAAAAAAATTATACATATGGATGAGTCAACATTGTGCAGACAGACATATATAATATGTTGTTGCTTCGTTCTTAAAGGAACGACGCAATATATCAAAATATTATGTGACTTTGTTCCTAAGAAAGCACGCTCTTAAGGAACGACGCAATATATCAATGTATTATGTAATTTATGTTGCTTCGTTCCAAAGAAAGCAGGCCATATATAAATTATGTTGTTGTACCCTAAAATTTCAGGAACAGTTCAAAAGTTTTTAAATTTTTTTTTTGGCTTTATTTATTTCATAAACTATTATATTTTCACTTCATGGTGTTTTCATTCGGATATTTTAAACATTTTCGTCAAAATATCCATTTAAGTAGAAAGATATCCGATAATTGTGCTTAGCAACGGTTTATTTTTACTATGTTTACTTTGATTGCTATGGGGTTTTTTCATCCAAAATTATAATATTTTGCCGCAAACCCCCCTCAATAGAACAAAGGAAATCCCCCTCCTGAAATATGCATCATCTTGCTCGATCCATGCCCCTAAAACCAACGCAATAGCGTTTTGTTGAGCATTGTGTTATGGTGGTGATTTTTGAGGAGTGATGGAAAATAATAAACAATCCCTTTCAATCGAAGTCTTTTAAAAGTATTTTCATGGGGTTTTATGTGCTAGAAATAAAGAATAATTATGGAACAAAGCTAAGATAGGTAACGTGAAAGAAAAGAAATGGTTATATTGATAAATACACACAAGAAAGGGCTGAAAAGTTCAGTAATGGCGCTGCCGCCATAATGGCTATCTTTGTAGTTATTCGGCTGTCAGGGACAATCTTGCCGCTATTTATGTGTCTGGTTGTAACTATGTGTCTTCAAAAAGACTACTAAGCACTACTGTTGAGAAAATATAAAGGAACAGAAGCATTATGAACCGCAAGGTACGAAAATATTTGGACTTTATGCACCTATCAATGTTTTCCCCCTGAGGGGGGGGGGGGGGGGGGGGGGG